AGAATTTGTGGAGGGATTGTCGCGAAGCCATGAATTTTTCCATCATATCTTCACCGGATCGAAAAAGTCATCAATTTCAATGATTTTCTTAAGCACAACTTATAGTGTGTGTGTGTGTCAATGCAGGATTGGAAATATGAGTTTTTCAGCCTCGCATCTCCACTTGAATGTTCTTTTTAGCGCATTTTCCCATTTATGGAAAAAGAGGCCCTATTTTGCTCGTCATGTCCGTACGTTCGTCTGTCTGTCTGTCTGGCTGTCCGTCGTGACTTCACGTTTTCGTCGACGAGAAAATACGCTCTCTAGCTGTCACTCACTGCAGTGATCGAGTACTGAGTTACATTTTTATGTTATTTGAATTCTGAACGATATTTTTTTGGAAATCGCCGGTAGAGTTTATCAATGTTTTGAGCTTTGCAAAGGAAAAATCTGAACGGCTAATGCAAAATTGCTTCTCCTTTGCGCTATCTCATTCATTCTACATATAACATTATGAAATAATTTCTATTGAGTAAGTTTCATCGTCCTCATGTTGTCCTACGATCCTAGGGGTAAAGTGCAAGTATAGGATAAATATTCTGAGCTGTTATTCCTATAAAATAGAAACTGGAGACAAACCAAAAATATTTAACCAGATCAAATAAATAAGTAATTACATTCGTAACGAAAATTTTCATAAACTTTATATCCGGTAGTAGCCTTGCGATTGCTTCCTATGAATTATAAAGATAGTTCATGGCTTGTAAAAAATATAAAAAAACTAAATTCAGTAAACTAATCAAAGTGGTTTTCTAATTTTATTTCCAAGTTTCCAAGCATAAATATTTCTTCGTGAACTTCTGGCGCGCGAATGTCACTTGAGCATAAAACTTTTATTCATTACATTCTATTTTTATGCAAAGAATTCTCTGACTTGCAGACTTTCTCAACGAGAAAAACAACTTCGTGCGCTCGAGGATACGTAACAAATAAAAATATACGTGATCTTCGCACGATTTTACTGTATGGAAGTCACTACCTCAATTACATGAGAATACCGACACGGTATACAGGATTGCGTTAATAGGTGAAACTGCCTGAAACTAAAATATAGAATCAGTATTGAAATTATGATATTGTACCTAAATTATAGTACCTATTATAACTATTATAACGAAATTTAAATATTTTTTAAATTATGACTAAATATAATTGAGACATAATCACGCATATATAAACATAATTTAAATTAATATTGCCGGACTCTTCATATAATTTTTCAAACAATTTAAACGCTTGTTCCCCAGTTCGAGAGTCGGGGCTATATTATATTGGACCGTGAATAATCGCTCCGTGGTAAATGAACCCTCTGGTGAACCCTATCTTGCAGTGGAGCCCAAAATGTCTGGGCTCACTATACAAGACATTATTTTCATTATTTATTATTGTTGAGCTTCATGAAAGTTTCATTGCTATTTAACCAAGCAGTTATCAAAAGTTCAAAATTTACCTCAAATTATAAGGAAAATCGGAGTGAAAGAAGCCAAGCCTAAACGATAAAAATTAACAATTTCCGCCGATGGTTATAGCATCAAAGTGATTGTCGGTGAACAACTAAATTATGGATGGAGATTAAATAAAGGTAAAAAATTGTTGTTTGTGAATAACAGCCTGACATCTTTGTTCTAGATCGAATACCTGCAGTAATGCCACGCTGCACTCCTACATATTGTTATGAAATGTTGAAAACAGGTCCTTAAAAGAATTACACAATTGCATTCATTTTGCCCGAATTTATTTGGTTTAGTCCTACTTATGTTCGAGATTGTTTACTAAATATACCATAACATTTGTACCATACAAATTATGAAGCGAAGTCTGTACATTTCTTAGCCTCAATGCAAACATTAAAAATAGAAAATTTTGTTACTTACTTTTGGTTACTTCCGGTGAAATTTTCCAATAATATTGACCAGGGCCTATACTTTCAAAAAAAGTTAAGAGATCGTAAGCTCATCAGCCAATCATTGACGGCCTTTCGAGTCAAATCCACCAATCATAGACAAGAAAATAGAGCGTAAGTACTTACGTTCACATAACGAATTTTGAAAGTATGGCCCCAGGGCCTGCACTTTCAAAATTCGCTAAGTGAACGTAAGTACTTACGCTCTATTTTCTTGCCTATGATTGGTGGATTTTGCTTGAAAGGCCGTCAATGATTGGCTGATGAACTTACGATCTCTTAAATTTTTTTGAAAGTATAGGCCCAGCAGTGTATGCATATTACTGAATACGCTGTTTTTGTCATTAAATGCGTCCATCCTAAAACAAAACTAGGATTCCCGGAAGCTTGTTTTTATACAAGAACCTTATTAATACTTGAGTGTTCTGACCACACTGTATGTTAGTGAAATTTTCCCTGTGTAATAATAATTTTTGAAAAGCTTCTAAATGCATAATCTGCATAATCGTGCGAGATGAATTAAACCTTTTTACTAATGCACGGAAGTAATTTGAAGCAAGAAAAACTGAACTATCATGCCATAATATTACAAAATCCCTAAAGTAATAGGCTTAAATTTTCCCTATCAGCAAATTCTAATACTAGCTAGAATTTATTATACAGGATGACGGCTGACACTTGGCATCATAGGAAACAATTTTTCCTGAAAATAACCGGAAAATAATTTTCTAGTTAAATAATCATCAATTGCGGACTTTCTTTTGCGATTTTTGAAATAATTTGTTCAAATATCAATAAGATTTTTCTCCTGTAGTCATTACAATATCAAGGTATTTGAGCCATGCATGCTACGCGTTTAGATAGCTTGCGCATTTAAAATATATTACGCATTAAATTCGAGAAATTAATTCAAATTTAAAATGCTTGAACCGATTAATTGCTACAATATGTCAACATTAGTTGGGACAATTAGTGTGGCCAATCACGGAATGCATCTGATATGCTGCAATCCATACCTGTCCTGTCGAAGCCGAAAGTAAAAATTGGACAGTAATGCAAGCTCCCTGGCAGTGATCTAGGTCATAGAATAAGCTTTCTTTCTCTGGAATGCAATGTCTTAAGCAATAGTATTTTGGCACTAAGATTGCATTTCGTGCTTCTCATCTAGCAGATGAATTCGAATGAAATATTGTATTCAGTTGCTGTAGGGAGAAGATCTAGTGCTGAAATTTTAATTTTCATCACCAACCTCTCATTTTGAGAGTCGCATGAACGCCATTAAAATGTACAGATTTTCATGTTATATTGAATGTTTAATGACGAAAAAATGGCATGGTTATTTTCATGTTAAATTAAATTCATCACCTTAGATAGAATGCTTCGTCGTTTTTGTTCCACCGATCAACGCTAAGAATGGATTAATATTGTAAATATTACATCGAACACCGGAGTATATATATATACTGTATATATATAAATTCTAGAGCAAATCGTTATCGTTGAAACGTTCCCATGATGCTTCGGCTGGTATTCGAATCCCTCTAATAACAATTAGTTTCGATATCTAATTTTTTCCAAGTAAAGATCAGTAAAAACTCTGGGGGTATGGAGTTTACGTGCGCATTTTTCCACGCCTAGATTTAGCATTTTCTCAGAATTCAGTTTAACAAATAATATTATTATTCTTGCCGACAAAACTTCACTTCACAGCGACAACAGCTGACAATCGTTCGCTGCTTATAGTCCCTGCGATGAATTTCGTGTGTATGGAGGCAGTTAGGGCTTGGAGAAGTGTGCCCTATATATAAAACCCTGCTTTGTGGCAGTTAGGGCTTGGAGAAGCATATCGCAAGTATGAAGCCCTGTGTTGTGGCAGCGTGGGCTTGGATAAGCATATCGCAAGTATAAAGCCCTGTGTTGTGGCAGTTAGGGCTTGGAGAAGCATATCGTATGTATAAAGCCCTGTGTTGTGGCAGTTAGGGCTTGGAGAAACATATCGCAAGTATACAGCCCTGTGTTGTGGCAGTTAGGGCTGAGAAGCATATCGTAAGTATAAAGCCCTGTGTTGTGGCAGTTAGGGCTTGGAGAAGCATATCGTAAGTATAAAGCCCTGTGTTGTGACAGTTAGGGCTTGGAAAAGCATATCGTAAGTATATAGAGCCTTATGTTGTGGCAGTTAGGGACGACATCTCTCGACAAGTCTTCAGTCTAGGAAATAAGTAAGACTTCGTCCGAATAGCGATTCACTTGTTGCCATTGTGTGGGTCATCCCGGCCTAATTTTCAGGCGTAATAATGTCAGCTCTCTGCTCGTGCAGTGGGTTAGTGTGATAATATAACCCATTCATTTTTCTGAGTGGGTATTTTCATGAGAATTATATCGTATGGATAAATCCCCAACCATCGGGCAGTTCAGGCGTGACTCTTGGCAAGTATTTATATAGTCTAGTATATTAGGAGAATATCGACGAACTGAAGTTGAAGGTCGACTTGTAATCGTTTTCCTATACCGTGAATTAGTACCGTAATTACCATTTTGAATTCTACTGAGGGTATCAGCTTTTTGCCGCTGGTTCAGAAATGCTTCCTAGTAACCGGAACCCGATAGTTAGTACGAACCATTACTATCGTAATGCAATCATTACGATTTTAGGCGTAATGCAATCATTACGATTTTAGGCTAAAAACGTGTTATTTCGCTCATCTTTTTTTCATTTTATATGTTATTATATTCTTCGTTCTCTGATATTTAGTTTATCCTGCATGTTTTGAAAGGCAATTTGAGCAGATTCCTTACGATAGTTCTTTTAATAACTAATAATCTTCATTTCTTAATACGATTTTTTCTTTCATGGGTAATATTTCTAGTTCATTACAGTACCTTATTGTGACCAAAGCTGCTCGCCGATCGAGTTCTCAAAAAGCGCGTGAAAATAGGTTCGATATCCAAAACTTTGACGTAACTTGACATTTTAATATCAACAAAATAATCACCATTGACTTCTCTTCGTCATATTAAACTGATCAAAGAAAATAAACTTATAATCTTTTTCACTCAGATGGTCGAAGAAAAACATCGTCATCGACTGCCACACGCAACTGGCGAAAGATCTCATCGTGGGACACGTGAGAGATGTGCAGATGGGACGACGCAACTACCACTACCTCCTCTCTGGTCTGGTAAGTAGCATGGTGATGGAGGAGAGACCAGACCATTCATCGATGGTGATGGAGGAGAGACCAGACCATTCATCGATAGTGAACCTCCTCTCTGGCCTGGTAAGTAGATACCACTACCTCCTCTCTGGTCTGGTAAGTAGCTACCACTACCTCCTCTCTGGTCTGGTAAGTAGCTACCACAACCTCCTCTCTGGTCTGGTAAGTAGCTACCACAACCTCCTCTCTGGTCTAGTAAGTAGCTACCACCATCTCCTCTCTGGTCTGGTAGTAGCTACCATCTTGTGAAGATCCCATGAAACCATTTTTAATTCAGAGCAAAAACTAATATAAAAATCATTTACAAATCTTAGAAAGCAAAGTATTGTGACTTTTATTTATGATATCTCGCGTTCTGCTATGGTCCCACTTCACAGCGCAATTGAATATTATAAAATAAATTCCAGGATCTTTTTATTTTGCGTAATTTATTCTCTGACCGTTACCGATATGCCTTGGTCGTATGATTCTTCCTCTGACGTGGACGACTCGTGGTAATGGCGAGCTTTTAATGCGCGCAAATGACCTGCATTCTAATTTTACCGAAATAAAATAAAAAAATGCGCGTGAAAATTAGCGTTTATTCGTTGGAAGTTATATTTTTTGATAAGATGTTGGATCACTCACATACAACACACTTCACTCACGACACCTCTCAACTTCCTGAACTAATTTCACTAATAATTGTAGAACTTGTTTAACCATCCATTCCTGCGCTCAAGCTATAAAAATATTAAGGATTCACAATAAGTTCAGCATAACACAGCATTGATTACCGTTCTTCGATTTAGCGATTGTGGAAAATCGTAGCCTTCATAAAATAAATGCAGTGGTTGGTACCTGTAATCATTTCACTTATCATGATCGTAATTTGTCTGAATTATTAAAGCTTTAATTTCTCGTTTCGTGCTTAGCGATGCTCTGTTTATATAGATAGTCCAATAACGTTCAAGAATCAATACACAAATGTTGTCTCCTTGAAACTTGTACTGTTTTCTTCTGAAAAGTTTCCCAATATCAACGCGGCAAATGAAAAATTACTTCAACTTTTCAAAGCGTCGACTTCGGCACTTTGCCAGATGTTTGACTTCGGAAGTCATTTGCAGCGGTTTGGATTGTTTTCAGATAATCTCGAGCCGCTGCACAGTGCATCTTCTCGACATTTACTTCAGTCACTGATTTCTCTCAATTATTTTACATTTTAATTTAATTTTAGATTTGGTTATTTTCTTTTATTATTTTATTACATTTTCTAATCTACAGTAGATGCGGAGATCTCAATAACTGCTGACAAAGGCGGACGAGCTTTTTAATATAATTATATATTTTCGCTGAATGTTCCTGTGAACTCTACATGTTTCGTTTTCCGTATTTTCTCCTTCAGCTCCGCATTATAGAAGTGTGTAATAAACAACGAGGTCATATGAAAATTCCGTACAATATAGGCGATTAGTTTTTATTCATTTACATACATACTGTATGTCTTCAGCAGAAAAATTATTTAAAAAACGTTCCAGCAGATATAATTAATTTCGATACACCTCTCACCGGCGAATATTTATAAAATTCTATACACGTTTTAGTACCGGCGAATACTTATAAAAATAATATTGCTGAAAATAAAAGCGACATGAATTCTATTGAAATACTTTTTAAATTTTTTCCTAAAAAACTTTGGCAATCTTGTTCAATTTTACCTTGCCAACTTTCAGCAGCAAGTGGTTACCAAATCGTATCTGCGGATTTAAATGGCTTTTGGAATGTTATATAAAAATAGTTAATTTTTTATGCCCTGATATTCTCTGTAAAGTGAGCCCGGTGATCAGTTCAAAATAATAATTAATACACTAATTCGTATATTCCACAATCAAATATAAAGTAGCTCAGCGTTTGGTTTTTGATAGCGAATTGTACTAGAAAATAATTTCTTGTTTCCGCTGCAGCGATGGGCTTGAGTGGAGGCTTGATCTCGCTCTCGGTGAGACTGAGGGCGGCCACTAACGATGATGATTAAATTTTGCTCTACTGTAGGATTTCATTAGAACCGATTCAGTTCTATTGAAATATTGATGAAATATATGGATGAAAGCAGTACCCTAGAAATCTGGCAATTATGCAGTGTTTGGCAATTAGTAGTTTGTTCTCGCGTGTTTAAACTGATTTATTTTACCGCACTAACACCTTCACAGTTCATTGCGTGATATTCATAGCTGCATTTGTGTCATTTGTATTATTCCTTTCCGTATTCAATACTAGTTTCTTGGTGACAGTTGGAAAATTTTTAGAACAGAATCTTAAATATCGCAAATGGCATCAATTACTTACATTTATTATTGACTAGCAGAAAAATCTGTTAGAAGTAACTAATCATTTATTTCCCTGTGATCATCGTGAGTGATCAGAATTGAATGGTATTGTGCCCATTCATATTAGAGATTAAGTATAGTATGCAACAACTATATTGTCAACTTGGCATCCGTTTGTGCAACACAGCAGGAAACACAACAAACTAACACCTCCTTCATCTCCATCGTAATCATCCTGTAGGAGATTAGGTATGATATAAGACAACGATATCGTTAACTTCACTACTTCAGCCCACGACCTACTGTTGATACATTATTTGACTTTATTTATTGACGATAAACCGTTTAATTCGGCGTCCTGGACAAGAAAATTGAAGCAAGGACCTAGAATGTTTACGGACGCCTCGATGTTGTCACTAGAAAATGCATCAACGTGCCTCGCCAAACGTGCCTTGCTGTGCAGAACCGGTCTTTGTTTGGTAGCAAAGAATGCAAACGAACCGTCTCGGTTCGTTTGTCAGGAATGCACGCGTCTGTCTTCATTGGTAGTACGGAATGAATGCAGGATTAACAGGTGCTACCATCAGACCTTACGTGCGCGGATTAAGAGGTGCTACCATCAGACCTTACGTGCGCGGATTAACAGGTGCTACCATCAGAGGAATGCACGCGCCTAATTGTCCACGATGGTAGTCTGGATTGCACGCGCCTAATTGTCAACGTTGTTTGTCTGGAATGCACGCGCTTAATTTATTGTCCACGTTGGTAGTCTGGAATGCACGCGACTAATTGTCCACTTTGGCAGTCAGGAATTCACGCGCCTAATAATTGTCCACGTTGATAGTCAGAATGCACGCTTCTAGGTAGTCATTGGTAGTCAGGAATGCCTGAGACTCCAAGATCAGTCGCCGCTCTGTATCAGTTTGTTCGCCGAGACTTCCATGAATGGCCGCCATTTGGAACTTGTGTCGCTGGATAACGAGCGTTTGTATGCCAATACCTCCAGGGTTTGCTTTTGTCGTTTCAGTTTCGTGAATACATTTTTTTAGTGCCGCTGTTGGAGGCAAAAAAGTTATGACAAGTTCCGCCGCCCTCGAAGTTTGAAGACTTCATAATTTTTTCATTCTTTTTACCATGAGTGGAGTTTTGACCGATGATAAGATAGCAATGTCTCAAGACAGATAACATCATCCTTCAAATTTAAGCTCAGAATACAAACAAAGAATTTCAATGTGGAACTCAGAATTGCCTTGCAATTTGTTTACAATGCATCAATGAATACTGTTTGCATCAAATCTGCGACGACATGGGATTGAATGCCTAAACTCCTTGCATTGAGTTACCTAATACTGTAGTGTAAAATAATTTATCCTTTTCTCACTTCAATTCCTTCCAAAGCCTCCATTCGATGTTTGTGTATGATGTGTGTGAACTGGTTTTAGATTTAGCGAAATCGATGCATCCTTTAAAGTGAATAAATCATGAGTCCTTTCATGAGAGTTAATGAAATGTTGGAACATTTGTTTTAATTAATCTCTGAATTTCACATCTAAGCAAAATATATTTTCATGGCATAGTTTATTTGACACGGGTTTTATGTAAAAAGTTATTAATTTTCCGAAAAGTTTCTATATTTTGTACCGGATACTGACATAACGAATGTATTCGATGAACGTTACGTGCAGGGGATAAAGAAGTTTATACGACAAATCTCTCCCAGATATGAGATGTTGATTCAAGTACCTAGTAACAATGTTTTTGCAGCACTAAAATAATCGCAACCAATTCTTGATGATCCTTCATGCATTTTCTTATAATTTTAGGAAAACACTATTTTTATTATTAAATTCATTGTGATTCAAAATCTCAAAATTGTAGAATGAGCTTACAATCTTGACACATAGAACAAGTTCGATTCAATCCATTTTACAGTTCACATCAAACACTATTTTTGGTGAGATGAAAGAATGATCCAGTTACGATGAATTACATCTCTGACATTCAAGAAAAGTTATGAAGCTGTGAGCAAAGCTGCCAATTTTAACGCAACACAGCAGCAAATTTTGACCCGACACGGCGCTGGTTTTTCCCCTCCACTGAAGAGCAAGTCAGATCAGGGCTGAGGAGAGGCCACAAGACGGATGATGTCATCGTCATGGTCGCGCTTTGCAGGGCCTCCACCGCAGGCCCCAGACGCTGAAGTTTGATGTCGTCGCCGCGAGCCTCAAATGATGGACTGCTCGTCTGGGATAAATTTTTCAAGCTACATGAAACCGCCAGCCAAGGTTGACATTTCTGCATGAATTCATGTGCGCAGTCGACGATGCTTATTTGAATGTTTTCATTTCTCTCTTCATGAACATAGTTTGCTTAGGGCGAAAATTTAAAAACAAAACAATCCCGTTTTAAGAATACAATACAATTCTGAACAAGAAGTCTTCAAAGCCTTGAATTTGTTCAGTCATGAATTTTAATTGATGTGCCAATAAATTTCTCGACTGCAGAGTCTACAGACGAGCGTAAATGAAGTCACTGACAATGAAGAGATTCTTTAGATTCTTTGCTCCGTTAAATGAAGAATAGATAGTCATTGAAAAAAATCAGTGAAATACACATAACTGAAGAAATCCTTAACGGAAAACAACGGAACATGTACAACGGAACAACGGAAGAAGGCATAACTGTTACCGTAAACGACCTTTATTCTATTTTGATTTCACTTTAGTTCAATGGCAACATCCACGTGTATGACTCCCATTATCTGCTGTTCACGTCTGTTTCATGACCAGGTGCTGGACATCCCTCCTTCTTTTGCTCATGTTCCATGACCAGGTGCTGGACATCCCTCCTCCTGTTGCTCATGTCTGTTCCATGACCAGGTGCTGGACGCCCAGTGGGAGCTGGACGTGCAGGAGTACGGGGCCATCAACATCACGGGCTTCCGTATTGTGGACGTCACAAACGCGTTCGTGCAGCAGTTCCTGCGACGCTGGCGTACCCTCGACCCCAACAAGTACAGCGGCGTCGGCAACTACATATCCGTGAGTACATGGCACTCTTTACTCAATTTTTTCCTCTCAATGAATAATCAATGAATCAATTACATCATTTTTATTGAAATTTAATTCATTGAAAAACTGAGCGGAAGGTGACCGAGATCTACTGATAGATCTCCTGCAATCCCAGCTGATGATAAGCCGGAAGGCTACACTGTTCACCGGTAAAGTTACTCGCAACTGATTCTTTAATACATCACGATTTCGCCCTTGTGCACTTGATAAATTGGCTTACTGGTAAGTGTTCAGCATTATAGAACTTCAAAATTTGTTGATAATAATATGGTTATATTTTACCGCTTTGAACTTGAATTTCTACCGAAAATTATCACTCATTAACTTACGAGTATTTCGGTTTTGACTCTACTGATCGTCCTAGGCACTTATAGCATTAAATTGAATTTTCAGTCTAAAGAACGATCTTGAAATTTCGTTTAAAGTTTATTAAAATTCTGTTAATGTAGCTTTTCTTGATTTTTTACCTCTGGGCAACATTCATCGTTACCTCTGCAAAAGAACGGTATTCTACGAAAGAATGGTCGATACAGAGGACTTGATCTAGATCGATATCTAGATCAAGCTGGTGAAAGGGTTTTGTGGTCAATGAATGCGTCACAATGACAAAATGAACACTCAATGTTGTCGTAAACTAATGTTCTTTTCAAGGTCACAATTGACTAGGAATCGTATCAGATTAAACACTCGAAAAAAAAGTTCAACACCGACATGTACCCAAAGATAGTTTCTATGATGTCGGCAGAAGTGCCCTTCATTTTTTAAAATCCTAATACTGATACTGATTTTACTCAATTACTCATGAAATCATATACATTTGACGAATTAATTTCGTTTCTAGTTACGTTTAGTACACTATCATTAAGGAAATTCAATGAGTAGCAAGTCATACAATCTAATTTACTGGCTTGTAAAGCCACACTGGTCGGCAGCAAACCTAACCACTTCTTCTTTCCGGAATTTTGCACGTTATGCTCACAGCATTTGGTCTCTTCATTATACTTCTCAACACAATTTTGCCCAAATAATTACAAGCAATATTCAGAAGAATGATGGGAGGGCCATTGACGCCCTCGCTTATGTGCAGCTTTCGACGATTCTGTCATGTGAAAGCTTTAAATAGAAGGCCTTAGAACTGCTGTTCAGGCAGCGGTATAAGCTGCAGTACCCGCACACGCAGCAATATTAACAGCAGTAGTAGTAGCAGCAGCAGCATCAAAAACGGCAACATCTCGATGTGCAGAGCAGACAGAAACAACAGCAGAACACAAGCAGCAACATCATCACCAGGAGCAGCAGCAGCTCGGCTGAGCTTAAGTGCATGCGGTGAAGTAGTTTATAGCGTGGCACCTCAGGGACCCCTAACTCCTCACTTGAGGCCAAGTTTTAAATAAACAACTTAACTTGTTCATCACTCGAATGTGGAGTTGCGGGTCTCCGGCCAGCCTTTGCTGCTGGCACCACATGCCACAGCTCAAGGAATACAAGCTGCTCTGCGATAAAGGACACATCAGCCAACCTTTTAGGAAGTTACAAGTTCCTTTTACCGAGAACTATAGTGATGCTGGGATAAGGAAAAAAACATACAACTATTTTTCAAGTGAATAGTTAATAATGTCACATTTTATTCACTAAAATTTGTCGGCTTCCTAGTTCATGCATGGCATAATTTGTTGAAAGTTTGAAATAACCGATTACTACTGATCATACTTTGATTATATTTTATTAAAATTTTAGCAATGAAAACTAAATTTTTCAGTGTTTTACGGCAAAGAATCTCCCACGAAGGGCTTTCTTAGATGCTCTTTGCATCTATAGCTCAATCGTCAGAGAAGCCACGTGGCTTTCTGTTACCGAGCACGGGTATTTTAAAAGAAACTCGGCAATGAATGTAAGTAAGAAATTTTTATCAGACATCCCTGATGAAGAAGGCAAGGCCATTCATCATACATTTAATTTCCGGAGCTTGTCATTCTTTTGTTTCCGCCGCCGCAGAAAGAAGGTAGATGCGTTCCACTATTTCGCTTCGTTCCGGTTTCCGGCTCTGACCTCACACTGAGTGGAAACGTCCTCGTGCAGCCGATATGTCCGCGGCTGAGACGAGCGGGTGAAGTAATCTGCACTAGAATGTTGCGTTTTATGTTCAAACTATTCTGCGGAAATAGCGGGCCTCGCACGGAGTCATGTCAAGTGTTCTAAATATGGAACGTTAGAAGCGTGATAGGTGCTTGAGCATACAAGATCCTTTTTTTCAAAGTTAAGCGTTGATGCAAATTTAAATTCATTTATTAGAAAATACCAAGTGGATTATTTAAAATATCTTCATTGAGAACAGACGATTTTATCATCAGTTCAACAACTTAAGGCGTAAAAGTGTGTTTATAGCCTTATTCATTTCCTTGTAAATTTAACTTTTTCTGCCCAAATTTATTGCACTTGTATTTATTCAAAGTTTTTAACCGATGACAGAACTAGTCTAGGAATAATTATATAAATGAAAAATTAGTTAATTTTATTTAATTTTTAATTTTCAAATTTTTATTTACCTTGCGACTAAGGAATACTAATCATTCAACTTCTCGAATCAATTTTTGGTTGAATTACCTCTTGAAGAATCTTTAAAGTTTTAAACATTCAGTGATATCACTGGTCGTGGTGAAATCTGTGTTGAATTGTGGAAGAAAGTTTAGCCTTATATAGTTTCAATGCTGACCGTACGTCAGGAATAAGAGAATATCATAATTTGCAACGGCATTTAATTTCGAGCGATGGTAAAATACTCCTGCTATAGTTCATTCGCATTTTAAATTCTTTTTTATTGCATTAGGATGCGAAAAGAAATTTAACACAGGCCATAAATATAATGATGAATATGACTTGTTTTTCAGGGCTGACTATTATTAATAAAACCGGAGTTACAAAGGCTCAGCAGTCGGCTGAGTGAAAAACAAAAGTAGATGACAATCTGGTTTTTCATGTCTGTTCGAAATTAAATGTTTTTCTGTGAGATTTTGAGTGACATTAGATCAATTGAACTATGGTCTTGATACATATATAATGAATATGGAAATTGTTTCGAGTGGATTTAAATTTTATTGAGATCATAGATCGCGGGAAAATGCTTACCTGTCGAAAAAATCATATTTCATTAAAAGTTTAATGTTGCTCTGTGAATTTTTCCTTTTTCAAAAAACATTTACTATTTCATGCCTTATTTTGGGCCTATGAAGATTATTACAGCGCATTTTTCCATTAAAATCATTTGTATGGACAAGCACAATATGAAATTAATATTTCAAAAAGTGTTTACTTTTGTAATGTTTCCACATATTTTTCATCTGTCAAATGTATCTTCTTCAACTAATACTCTTATTTATCCTAGTCATTTAAACGCCACATTGGCCTGTATTTTATGCAATGCATTGCTGATATATATACTCCATCAACTTTAGTCGGATCTTCGTCAATATTCCTGAGCGCATTTTATAACTTCTCAGTAAGAGAGGGCCAGAATTTCCCCACTCCTGCAACTTCCTCGACCATTATGGCTAATTCCATTGGAAAATAAATTTTTTAGATACATCGTCGGCCTACAAATACCTTCAAAGTTTACATCTTCTCTCATGCTCGGCGAGTTGGTAGCAATGTAGTGAGGAAAAGCAGCGTCTAGCTTCTCTCTTCATCACACGACGTCAGTTTTCACTTCCATCCTCGACGAAGCGCTATTGCGCATGCTCTTCACCTCCAATTTGGGAGCCATTAGCACCTCTTTGGTGTTTTGGGCGCACCGCAGACCACCTAATTACAGTCCCGCGCTGATATATTGCACCGCTTGCCACAGAATATGACCAGACTATCCACTGCTTGGCCGAAATTCAAACGCGGTTCATTGCAGGTCACTGAATGGCCGACGAATAACCAGCACAGAGTTTTCATAAGTTTTTAATTCGGTTCATCTACTGTACGCTATTCGACAGAAGTTCAGTGAACGTAAGCTCCACTTGCAGCGCCAAACACTTTGCGTTCAGCGTTAAACGCTGAGCGTAGTGCGTTATAAGGGCTGCTCATGGCTCTGTAAGCGCAGCTCATGGCGTATCAAACGCAGCTCGAGGTGCAGTAAACGCAGCACATGGCGTATTAAACGCTGCTCGTGGCTCGCTAAACGCAGCTTAAAACGTATTGAACGTTGCTCGTGGCGCGTTAAATGCAGCTCATGGTGTATCAAAGTAGTTCGTGGCGCGTTAATCGCAGCCCATGACGTATTAAACGCTGCTCGTGGCGCGCTAAACGCATGTTATGACTCGAGGCTCGCTAAACGCAGCCCATGGCTTATAAAACGCAGCCCATGTCGTACTAAACGCTGCTCATGTCGTATTAACGCAACTCTTGGCTCGCTTTTCATCGCTCATGGCGTATTAAACGCTGCTATTGGTTCATTGAACTCAGTTCATGGTGTATTAAATGCTGCTCGTGGTTCGTTAAACGCAGGCCATGGCTTATTAAACGCTGCTCAATGCACGTTAAACGTAGCTTATGGTGTCATATATCACATGGCACATTGAACGGTGCTCGTGGCGCATTAAACGCTGCTTGTGACTCGTTAAACGCTGCTCGTGGCGCGTTAAAAATCATTCGGCTCCAATTTCACAACAGCCGAGTGAAATGCTAATTTCGTTGCTTTTAATATCAGTTCGGAATTTCAGCCTGAAGACGAGCATAGTTGAAAGTAATTTGAATTATTTCTCAGTAATATTCATGTGCTTAAAACGGATTTCATTTTCTTTCGCAAAGTTAAAGTGTTCATTCACGTGAAGCTCAAACAATCTAATGATATACCTACATTTTACGACGGTATAAAAAAAATTGCTCGCTCGATTGAACGTTAATTCCATCTCAACTCTTTCTATATCTGTCAAAAAGCAACCTTCTTCCATGTTCCACGTAATTATTTGTTGAAAACAACCAACAAAATTCTACAGAGTTAAAATCTTCCTAAATCTGGCTTCCCTGCTGATCAAATCTGTCGCTTCAAAAGTTTCTTGATATTTTTCTGGTCTCACTCAGGAATTTTTTTTCGCTTGATGCGCGTTGATGCCATCAACTTGCTGGTAAACTGGAGGGATTTTCATCGAGGGCATTAAAGCGGCATCGTCCTGCCTTTGATGATATTATTGTATAAAATCAAACTTTCGATAATAATTATTGTCGGAAATCAAATTTTCAAACGGCGCGTTTAGGCGAGGAAATTTCGGGGCCAGCGTTCCGTCGATCGTAGTGGGAGAATCGGAAAATCGTTTGTAATTCACCGGCAGTAGTTGTCGGCGCTAAACTGTATATTTTCAAATGAAGAAATAATGCGATCATAACATGAGATGATTGTATGAGATGATGAATGATAAAAAATGAAATGAAAAAATTATAAAAAAAAAATTCATTTAATTCTAATTTTGGCACCTAAAATGTGTTTTTGAGAATTGAGAGACTGCAGTGTGGATTTTACTTAGCTATTATTACAAAAATTCACTGCATTTAATTCGATTTTGCGGTATGCAATGTCCAAAACGACTACTGTGATGCGTGCCATAATCCGGTAACAGCTCAAAATTTCCATGGTACTGAAATAATTTGAGCTGCCATTAGGTGGCTGAACTTTTGACAGTGAATCGTGGCGTTTGCTTAACCAAGTAGCTAAATTAACATTTCAATTTTCAGTTGTAGAAATTGAAAACCGTCACTTAGCACCACAAATGAATTACAAGTAGCTAAATTAACATTTGTTAAAAGTCAACAACTTCAACTTTTGGCAGTAAATCGTGATGTTTACTTAACGTTCATCGATTTAATTGGAAAGTCAGAAGTCAACATCTTTAACTTTTTTCAGTGAATCGTGGCGTTTGCTTAACGTTCTTCGATTTAATTGTAAAGTCAAAAGTCAACAACTTCAACTTTTGGCAGTGAATCATGGCGTTTACTTAACATTCAATGATTTAAGTGTAAAGTCAAAAGTCGATATCATCTACGCCAACACAATTTCTTGGCGTTGATACCATAGAGACAGTAATAGTTCAACGTCGTGAATTACGCTGTGTATTTTAAACTCGGCTATTTCAACGAAAGGAAAAATTATCGCCCTAAAAGCCTGGTTTAAATAAAATGATTCAGTTTAATTAGGGACGTGTAAATTTTTCGAACGTTGGTGTTTTCAGCGAACCATAAAAACTTGAGGTCAAGATCCCAGCGACTGAGTTAATTACTCAGAACTTTTTAGCTCATTTCTTTAAGTAATATTTCCAGACTCCTCATTTGGGATCAAATTATACCGCTGAAAAG